ACATCGCCGCGCGCTGTTCGGCAGAGTCTGCCGGCGGCTGAAGAATCTGGGCTTGGCCGGCGCGCTCACGTGGTGGCGTTACGTCGTCGCGGAGACGGCTCGCATCGAGTCCGCGCAGGCATCAGCGATGAAACTGATGCAGCGTGCGCTCCGCCGGTGGGTCCTGGAGTCCCTCGGACCGTGCTTCGAGTGGTGGCTGCACATCATCGAAGAGGAGAAGAGAATCGAGGCTGCTCAGGCTTCTGCGATGAAATTGATGCAGCGGGCTCTTCGCCGCTGGGTGCTGGAATCGCTCGGACCGTGCTTCGAGTGGTGGCTGCATACTGTCGAGGAAGAAAAGCGGGTCGAAGCCGCTCAGACTTCCGCGATGAAGCTCATGCAGCGGGCGCTCACGCGCTGGACCCGCGACTGCCTGGCGCCTCGGTTCAGCATGTGGGTTGCTAATGTCGAAGACACGAAACGCATCGAGAAGCTGCAGGCGTCGACGATCAAGCGCATGGAGCGGCAGCTGCACCGGTGGGGCATCGCCGGGGCGGACCGCGGCTTCAAAGCGTGGCGGTCGTTCGTCGCGGCGACTCGCATGGAGGACAAGGCGCGAGAGTCGCTCGTGGGCAAGGCGTGCCGCCGGTTCAAGAACTTGCGCCTGTCGTTGGCCTTGAGCTGGTGGCGGCACGTCGTCGCGGAGACGGCCCGCATCGAGTCCGCGCAATCGTCAGCGATGAAAATCATGCAGCGCGCGCTCCGCCGCTGGGTGCTGGAATCGCTCGGCCCATGCTTCGAATGGTGGCTGCACATCGTGGCGGAGGAGAAGCGCATCGAAGCTGCTCAGGCCTCTGCGATGAAACTCATGCAGCGGGCGCTGCGGCGGTGGGTACTCGAATCACTTGGCCCGTGCTTTGAATGGTGGTTGCACACGGTCGAGGAAGAAAAGCGCGTCGAGGCCGCTCAGACTTCTGCGATGAAACTCATGCAGCGGGCGCTCACGCGCTGGACCCGCGACTGCCTTGCGCCACGGTTCAGCATGTGGGTCGCTATCGTCGAAGATGAGAAGCGGGTCGAGAAGCTGCAGGCTTCCACAATAAAGCGCATGGAACGGCAGCTGCACCGGTGGGGCATCGCCGGAGCGGACCGCGGCTTCAAGGCGTGGCGGTCTTTTGTCGTAGCGACTCGCTTGGAGGAGGAGAAATCAGGCCTGGCCGAGGAGCATCGCCGCGCGCTGTTCGGCAGAGTCTGCCGGCGGCTGAAGAATCTGGGCTTGGCCGGCGCGCTCACGTGGTGGCGTTACGTCGTCGCGGAGACGGCTCGTATCGAGTCCGCGCAGGCGTCAGCGATGAAACTGATGCAGCGTGCGCTCCGCCGGTGGGTCCTGGAGTCCCTCGGGCCATGCTTCGAATGGTGGCTTCACACGGTAGTGGAAGAAAAGCGGGTCGAAGCTGCTCAGACTTCCGCGATGAAGCTCATGCAGCGGGCGCTCACGCGCTGGACGCGCGACTGCCTGGCGCCTCGGTTTAGCATGTGGGTCGCTATCGTCGAAGATGAGAAGCGGATCGAGAAGCTGCAGGCTTCCACAATAAAGCGCATGGAGCGGCAGCTGCACCGGTGGGGCATCGCCGGGGCGGACCGCGGCTTCCGCGCATGGCGGTCATTCGTCGCGGCGACTCGCATGGAGGACAAGGCGCGAGAGTCGCTCGTGGGCAAGGCGTGCCGCCGGTTCAAGAACTTGCGCCTGTCGTTGGCCTTGAGCTGGTGGCGGCACGTCGTCGCGGAGACGGCCCGCGTCGAGTCGGCGCAGGCATCAGCGATGAAGATCATGCAGCGCGCGCTCCGCCGCTGGGTCCTGGAATCGCTCGGCCCATGCTTCGAGTGGTGGCTGCACATCGTGGCGGAGGAGAAGCGCATCGAGGCCGCCCAGGCATCTGCGATGAAGCTCATGCAGCGGGCATTGCGCCGCTGGGTGCTGGAATCACTTGGCCCGTGCTTTGAATGGTGGTTGCACACGGTCGAGGAAGAAAAGCGCGTCGAGGCCGCTCACGCGTCGGCGATGAAACTTATGCAGCGGGCGCTCACGCGCTGGACCCGCGACTGCCTTGCGCCACGGTTCAGCATGTGGGTCGCCATCGTCGCAGATGAGAAGCGGATCGAAAAACTCCAGGCTTCCACAATAAAGCGCATGGAGCGGCAGCTGCACCGGTGGGGCATCGCCGGGGCGGACCGCGGCTTCAAAGCGTGGCGGTCGTTCGTCGTGGCGACTCGCTCGGAGGAGGAGAAATCAGGCCTGGCCGAGGAGCATCGCCGCGCGCTGTTCGGCAGAGTCTGCCGGCGGCTGAAGAATCTGGGCTTGGCCGGCGCGCTCACGTGGTGGCGTTACGTCGTCGCGGAGTCGGCTCGCATCGAGTCCGCGCAGGCGTCAGCGATGAAACTGATGCAGCGTGCGCTCCGCCGCTGGGTCCTGGAGTCCCTCGGACCGTGCTTCGAGTGGTGGCTGCACATCATCGAAGAGGAGAAGAGAATCGAGGCTGCTCAGGCTTCTGCGATGAAATTGATGCAGCGGGCTCTTCGCCGTTGGGTGCTGGAATCGCTCGGACCGTGCTTCGAGTGGTGGCTGCATACTGTCGAGGAAGAAAAGCGGGTCGAAGCCGCTCAGACTTCCGCGATGAAGCTCATGCAGCGGGCGCTCACGCGCTGGACCCGCGACTGCCTGGCGCCACGATTCAGCATGTGGGTTGCTATTGTCGAGGACACGAAACGCATCGAGAAGCTGCAGGCTTCCACAATAAAGCGCATG